CATGAGTTCTTTTGCCCAGTATTGCCAGTATAAAAACTTAGAGGTTAACTCTTCAAAAACTAAAGTAATGGCCTTTACTAAAAGATCCTTTATGGAATCTATTTGGGCATTTCTGCCACTAATTTATGTGCTCTTGAGAAGGTTCGATCCAGATTTATTGCCAAGGTTTCACAGGTTCCTCCGGGGGTGCCGTATGCCCTTCTACGCCTAGAAACTGGTCTAATGAGAATAGAAGCCAGAGTATTGTTATCCTCTGCATATCAATGGCTCAAAACGATGAATTCAAATCAAAAAGGACTTTTCCCCCTAATAAACAAAGATCCCTATCAGCCAAGGTGGTTTCGAATGACCAAGACTAATTTAGAAAAAATGGGACTCTCACCTGAGGATTTATTGGCGCAAAACAGCATACAGGCGAGAAGTATAATAAAACAAAGGATTTGTGATCCAGAGTGCCAAGGGGATTTAAACCGAGGTCCTTCTTTTCTGGTCCATAATGACTCCGGATATGTAATGAAAATGGCTAAATACCTGACTTATCTGGATGTGCCACCCTGTAGAAGAGCTCTTACCCTGGCTCGTTGTGCGGCTATTCCCTCTAAGGTTTTAGAAGGAAAATATAGAAGGATACCACATGAAGACAGGTGCTGCCCAGGCTCTGTGCGAGAAGTGGAATCGATGCTCCACATGTTCTTTCGCTGTCCCTTTCATCAGGTTTATAGGGATAAACTTCTTGCCCCCCTCTTGGATAGACCAGCGCTTGATGCAGAGAGAGCTGATCTAGAGAGACTTTTGATAGAGGGAAATAAGCAGATCTCCAGACAAATAACAACATTCTGCTGGCAACTGGTAAGATTTCATAATAAGAAGCAGATCAAGTAGAATCCTCATTTACCTTTGCATGACTCATAAGTAGTTAAGTTTTAAACATCTCATAATTATTTTGATATAATGGACTGTTAAACTTTTCTCCTTTTAACAGTTTAATGATTTTAAGGTTATATGTTTATTTTTAGAGCTGAAAGCTAATTTGCTTGTATTTAATGAACATGTAATATTTTGATAAATGGTCTTTGACTGCAAATAAACATCATTCGTTCATTCCAAGGACTGTGTGATCCCTGGGTGTTAACGTCCAGGCAAACAGTTCAAGAACTGTAAATATAAATTCTGCTGCCATAAATGCCAGAAGGAGTGTGGGACAATTCAAAAATTTTACTGGCACAAAGGGGGCAAATGTCTTGTAGCTGCCCTTAGACTATATAAGGCCAAATCTCTCAGTCAACTTACCTTTGGGGCCCCATCAATATTACATCAAACTACAAGAAACTGGACATAGTCCAATCAAAATTTTTGAGATCTGTTCTACAGGTACCTACCGTAATGGCATTACAAATGCACTTATTCAAATTGAAACCGAAATGATTAGTGTGGAGGCAAGGTTATGGATCATGGTGATTCATTATTGGCTGAAATTGGTTTTTCTATCCAAGGGGCTGACACGTTTAATATTACAAGCAATGCTCCCTCTAAGCTGTGGATTCTTGTGAGCAAAAAATTCTACTTTGTGAGCTACTGGCATTAAAGCTGTGAGCCAGCGATTTGGCTGCTGCATAAGTTAGTTTGCTCTGGGGCCCTCCTTCCTGAGCTGAGACGAAAATGTGTGAGCCGGAGGCTAAAAAACTGTGAGCTAGCTCACACTAACTCAGCTTAGAGGGAACACTGATTACAAGACACCTTTATACCCCCCCACCCCCGCTTAAGGCTATAGAGGAGAAACTCCCTTATTTTGGTTTCGTAAAACAATACCTGTGTTCCCTTGCCTATGACAAAGGCAGAAAATTGATAAAACAGAGGATTACAGATATTGATAGGCAGAACAATATAGGTAGAACAGAGAAATGGCACACACTTCTTGACCCCATCAACATCAACAGAGTAAGGCCCATGTCCTATTTTCACCATCTGTCAACACAAATACAGGAAACGTTTACTGTCATGCGCTGGGACGTTCTTCCTCTGGCAATTACAGAGGGAAAGTGTAAGAAAATCGCATTTGAGGAAACATACATGCCCCTGCTGTAACGAAGGCATGGAAAATTTAGAACATGTTGTGTTCGACTGTAAGGCCTATAATCATCTTTGTAAATGACTTCTGCTCCCCATGTCCTTACCTCTCCCTAGTGGGCAAAGAGTTGGTATTATGAAGAATTATGGGTGCGGGCAGGCACTCGGAGGTAACATATCAAGTGGCTAGATATGGATGGTTTGCTTTAAGAATTAGAAAATCTATAATAACGCAGCAAGTTAAATGTCAGTCATCTCACTGTTAACTGTCTGTCTCTTAAGAATTTTAAAATTTATTTTATTGCTGTTTTAAACGTCTTTTACCTTTATTCACAATTTATTAATTTTGTTGTAATATGTCTTGGCTGCAAATAAAACTAAAACTAAACTATCAGTTTGATTCATGTACTACCCTGTTGTTGTTTCATTGTTTTCTTCTGGTGTAATACCATTTTTCTTCCTTATATTCATACTTCATACACCATGACCATTTGGACTTTGTTAATCCTAGTCCGAGTCCATTGCTCATTTGATGTCTCCTCATATGGATTGCACTGACCTACACTGTCAGTGCAATCCATATGACTTCTTACAAGTCTCTTTGTATACACCATTGCTGACTTGACCCACTTTTAGGATGTTTCTGCACCCGTAATTTACTCCAGCCTCTCCTCTTATTTATCCTGTTTTCTAAATGACCTTCTACACTCAGGGGTCATTTCATAGAAAAAGAGCTGGGGGAACTCATTAGCATAACTCATTAGCATATGTCACACCCCCTGACATCAGGGGCCCGGCGGTGGACCTGCAAGGCCAGCGAGAGTGCGAGGAAGCCCCGCCAAGGCCCTCCCTGGCCCCAGGCAGGCAGGGGTGGGGAGAGGCGGGGAGGAAGCAACTTACCCTCCCTCTTCTCCTGCCTCCTCCTGGCTGAATGAGGGCTGGAAGCGGGGCGGCCGGAAGCAGGGGGTGGGGCTTCGTCATGTGCCCCGCCCCCCTGCACCTCACCCGGGGGAACTGCGTTCCCCCGCGTTCCCCCCTGAAATGACCTCTGTTACACTCCATCTCACCTTTGTGTCTCATTTACTTTGGCTCTTGTTAAAGCTTTTTGTTGGGAGTTACAAGTTAAAACACTGTTCAGTATTTACTGGGTTAATACTGTTTACTAAATCACATGTTTGTTTGTAACCAATAAGTTTAGAGAGCTAGAAAGCCCGGCAACTTCAGATCTAGTTTGTTGTTCTGATTGGAGACGAGAGTGGCTAGTATTAGCATTTTTATGGCTCTTTTTCCTGAGCAAGAAGAAGTTAAGTCTCGTTCAGTCTCCATTAGTCTTCTGCCATCTTCTGTCTAGCTGTAAGGATGTAGAAATATAGCTCTTTGTTATTTTTCATCCCGTATACCTTTTCCCCATGCTAGGTTGTAGTAAACTTTTATATTTTAAACACACCATGGACTCTGACTCTTTAATACTCTGCTGAATGCTGATTACTCTGCTGATTAACTTTAAAATTAATAACAATAACCCAACACTTTTGCATTTATCTTCTAATACCCCACTCTCACCTCCCCGTTCTTCCGGGTTTTCTGAATCCTGATTTGTCGTGGACTTGTCCATTACTCAGCTTTCAAGTTGGCCTTTTCTCCCTGGGCAATAGGGGTGGTTGAGGCCGGATGAGAGAGCTGCAGAGAATTCACTGGATAAGTGATCTCTGGACTTGTTATCCAGAGGTCCTTGATTTCAAGATTTTATATTTGGCAGTTGATATTTGATGCATGACGTGATACACTATTTAGTTTTGCAGTTGATATTTGATAGGTGGCTCTACATCGGCCTTTTCAGTGCTTGGGAGTCAACCCCTTAGGAAACTGGGTACGATGCTGTGTTCTTCCTGTTTATGTAGGCTTAATTCTTCCCCAGGGTTTTTTGGGAAAGTTTTGGTACTAGCGAGGCATTGTGGTGAATTTGGAACAGCAGGGAGAACTGCTGGCCCAGCCATGCTATTTGCTGGCTGGGTGGCCGTGAACCACTCACTGCAGCTCAGCTTAACCTACTTTACAAGGGATTATGAGTAAAATGGGGTAGCCCCTCCCCAGGCCTGCACCTTTGGTCAAATAAATAAATATTTAAATAATAAATCAATGAACCTTTCTGATTTGATGCTGTGTTTACCCGCTTGAGGATTTATCTTGTCTGACGATTCCACCTAGTGTAATACACTCATATTGGGACAATGCACCCTACTGTTTATGATTGAGTATTGTCTTTTAACAAGTGCTGATGTTTTTTTTTGTTTTTTTTCTTTTTCTGTATGAATGGTACTTTTATATGTGTGTATAAGTGTGCTTAAGACTTTTGGTCATGTAAGCCGAAATAAAATAAAATCAAATCATAAATCAATGATTGTGCTATTGAGTGGGGGGGGTTTACTTTGATCTAATAATTTGTTAAGTGACTAAAATAGAGTCGGCGTGGCGTGGTGTGCTTAAGAGTAGTGGACTCTGATCTGGAGAACCGAGTTTAAGTCTCCACTCCTCCTCCACATGCTATTGTAAGCCGCCCTGAGCCCGCTTGTGGGGAGGGCGGGGTAGAAACGCGATGATGATGATGATGATGATGATGATGATGATGATGATGATGATGATGATGATGATGATGCCGGCTGGGTGACCACCAGTCACAGTTCTCTCAGCGCTTTCTCAGCCCCACCTGCCTCACAGGGTGTCTGTTGTGGGGAGAGGAAGGGAAGAGGATTGTAAGCCACTCTGAGACGCCTTCGGGTTGTGAAGAGCAGGGTATAAACCCAACTTTTCTTCTGCATCTTAAAATGAACTTTTGAAAGATTCTCCCATCTTTCCTGGTTTTCGGGATCAGGAAGCTTGGTGTGGCCTCTTTTTCTTTTCCCACTCACGGTGTCTTTCTCTCTGCTCTGCAGATTTTTCCACGCAAGTCAATTCCCCCTCCTTGAGCTCTCCGACCGGCCGTGGGCCTATGACCGCGCCTTCCCTCCATCCGTCCATCGGGCCTGGCATCGGTTCCTCCTTGGGGTCTGCAAGCCAACTGCACTCATCCATCAGCGCCCTGAGTTCCCCCCTCAATGGCATGGGGCCTCCTTTCTCGGTCATCAGCTCCCCAATGGGGTCTCACTCAATGTCTGGACCGTCCACCCCGGGCCTTGGCTTTGGAACTGGCAGCCCACAGGTGAGTGGCGGGGCGGGCGGGGGGAGCTCTGCAGTGGCCCAGAACACCTTCCCAGTGGATGAAGGGCGAGAACGCTGTAGGGTTTTTAAAAGCTATCTATTTGTTTAAAGAGATGGAGATGGAAATGTTCTTCCCTCTCTCGTAATACAAGAAGTCAGAGGAGCTGGCAGGCAAAGGATTCATAACCGGCCGTCCAAGATGTTTTTCCACACTGGGTGTTGCGTACTTGTGGGATTTATTCACCTTTGTTTTATATATGTCAGATTTACTGCTGGGGGATGCGGTGGCAGAGGCAGGGTTTTGACGGATTTTTAAAGGTCAGATCTGTAGACTGTTTCAGGATGGCTCTCAGTTGTGACAGGTGACATGCTGAGAGGCAGTATATCTTTGAGCGCCAAGGGAAGGCCCTCCCCTTCCTGGCCTTCTGGAGGGCTTCTCAGAAGCTGCTGGACAAAGGGGCCCCTTGGTCTGGTCTTTAGACACACTTCTCTGCACGTTTGGACACAGCCACCGTCCGGTGAGGGACCTGGGCGGGTGGGCTCCTATAAGCTGTGGAGAAAAGTGCTGGGCCGGCATCAAGAGGGGGACGAGGGGATGATTTGCCACTCCCCCCCCCTTCCCCGCAGGTCTTGCAGAGCAGGGCTCTGCTTTTCCTCTTTCCAGGCGGGCCTCTGCTCTTGGTGTTGTTAGTATTATTTCCTCCCGCACAGCAATGATTGGTTTCCCTTCCTGGGAGGCAGGAGGCTGCAGGGCTGGTGGGAGATTATGTAAAAACAGAAAGCCCTCCCACGACAAGGAGATAAGTCCCCTGTGTTAAAAATAGCCAGGACTACCCCAACCACCTGTTGCTGGCGGGGAGGCAGATCGAGAAATGGGCCACCCCCTGCCGTTTGCTGCTGCTTTGGGTATTCCGGCTTCTGTCTGGGAGCCGTACACCTGCCAGGCGTTTTTTGCTGTTTTATTAGCTTGATTTATGGCGACAGGAGGACACACTTTCCCCGGGAGGGGGAGTGAGGCTCAGACAGAGCCCAAGCCCTCCGGGGCCCCCGCCCTGGTCCTGCCCTGCACGTTAGGGGTAGATTTGAGGCATTCCAGAGGCTGATTGAATCTCAACAAGTCTGGAGTCTGCATATTGCTTACATGACCACACATTACAGTAGGACTGTAATCTCTCCTAAATCTTTTCTGTTATGGCTCATTGTACATTCTTGTCCTTTGCAGTTCTTTGGATAAAACTGGCTTTTGTAAATTCACTTTTGCTTACTAATAATTACAAGTGGGGGCCTGTGAGACTCGTGGGGGGGGGATCCCATCTCCCCCCTTTGCCCAACAAGCTCGGGCACAGCTCTCTTCCACCGCCGCCACCCTGTCGCTGAGCCTGACGCAGCTCTGGGCCAGGCAGTGGCAGCGTCCGTCTGGTGGCTGCAGCTGGGTCCAACACAGCTCCTGGACTCCATCTCCATTTCTCAAGGATAGTGGTAGGTCCACCCCCTGTGCATGCGTAGAGAAGGCTCTTTATTCAGGGAGGGGGATTTAAACCTCCCCAATGTAATATCTTTACGTGTCCAGGTTTTTCTGCAAACCTGGGGGTCCCTCAAGATTGCAGAAGTCTCTGTTTTATGTGAGTGTGATCCTGGTCCACAGATTTAAGTAACCACAGATTAGGCCACACTTGACTATCCAACTGTGGCTTATAGGCCTTGGGGTCCCTTGGAAGTTTCTCTGCTGTTCCTCAACGGAAAGGGTCCGGCATGGTCGGCAAGCTTCCCTTCAAGACTGCTGGGCCACCTTCTTCTGATCTCCTCTGGGTGTGCACTGTGAGACACTGTAGGATGACTTCTTGGGTGTACACTTTGGTCCCCTCACTGGGCTACCTTTGCAACCCGGAAGCAACTGCACGAGTTCCGTGTTATGTGGGAGGAACTCCGACTGTGGCCACTCCCCACACCAGCATCGCCTCTTTTAGACACCCGGCAGTGGGGCATGACAGCGATGAGGGTGGGTCCCTTCTGCCTTGGGGCTTCTCAAGGGATCCTTCCACGTTGCCAGTGCAGGGGTCTAGAGGGCTCTGTTCTTGCAGGGGTCTGGGGAGGGCCAGCAGGCCTGGCCAGCACCCTGTGTGAGTTGAGAACACTCCCCAGAACCTTTTGCTGCCACGGGGCTTCTGTGGGAGGTGTGGGTGGGTTCCTGGCATTCCCTAAGGAAAGGAAGTTTTGAAACCTGCCGAACTTGTGAATGAGCATGGATACTTGCAGGTGGGCTGCAGATGAGAGCATCTCTGAGCATGTGTGGAATTTCCCCCACACACACACACACATCATTGGAGGACCTGTTCCTGCTGCTTGAAGCCCTGCACATTATGCATGGGTCAGATGTGCCACCAAAATAATTTGTTCCCTCTTCGCTCAGAAACCAGGTTAGCAGGAGACAAAAGCAGCCCCATCTTTTGGCCTCAAGAAAGGGCTTCCCACCAAACAGCCCCCTACCGACACCTGTACAGAATCCTGGTCACACGATGCATCCCCATTGGAAATTAGGGGGCAGGATTGGGCCTGTCAACAAAGCCCTACACAAGAGGAGGCAGCTATGGAACGGGCTCCTTGCCTTGCTGTAGCTCCACCACTCAAGAGGAGCAATTCTGAGACAGGCCTTTTCTCTCCAGTGAGGAACTCTGATAACAGAGCCTGCTTGCGGGTTGGGCGGGGTATAAATATAATTAATAAATAAATAAACAGTAAATGTGACACCACAGCAGCTGGGCCAACAGCTGGGCCTCCTGAGGTTTGGGGACTGGCCACTTATAGCTTTGATGAATCTTTGTCTACGATCTCATTTCTCGCATGTGCATCTTCCCCTTTCTCTGTAGGGCTCGGGGGGGGGAGGGTGCCTGGAATCCCTTTCCCACAACCCTGTGAGGTAGGCTAGGCTGGAATTGCCTTGCTCCAGAAAGCCACCTGGGGTTTTTTAGCTCAAGTCTGTGCAGCCCAAGGCCTTGCCCTCTGCACTAGATTGGCTCTTGTCCTCTGGGCATCCGTAGAGCCTCAGGGGCTGTGCCCTTGAACCTCACCACAAGCCCCATGGGGAGAGAGTAGCTAGCCCAGGGGTCATTTCGTAGAAAAAGAGGTGCAGGAGCTCATTAGCATAACTTATTTGCATATGCCACACCCCCTGACGTCACCAGAAGTGTGTCAGAAGGCAACACCCACCGCTCAGGCTCCACAGGACTGTTTTGGATTGCTAGCTATTGGGGGGGGGATGCGCAGATGTGCCCTCACAGCTATTGGGGGGGGCCCTGCAGATCTGTCCTCGCAGAGGAGGGAGAGCTTGTACCTAAATAAAACTTGGTCTTAAAGGTGCCACTGGACTGTCTTGGACCAGGGGGCGGGGGGGGGCCTCTGCAACTTACCTGGTTGCTTCTTGCTCTGACTGAGGGCTGCTGGGAGCAGGGGGGTGGGGCTTGTTGCATGTGCCCACCCCCTGGGCTCTTTACTGCCGGAGCTCCGCTCCTGTGCGCTCCTGCAGGAAATACGTTAAAGAATCCCAAAGTCTGTTAAAGTCAGGAAGAACTCTGCTCGCCTGTCCCCTCAGCTGTATCAAGGCCGAGCAAAGGAGTGGGACTTCTGGGAGCCAAGTAGGGAGTGGACAGGTGTTGAATAATGTTCTGGTGCTGGCTTCACATTCTTGATTTTTTTTATGGCATTGTCTGTGGCTACTGCTGCTAGATGAGGCTTGCCTCAGGGATCACCAGATCATTCTGCAGGCAATTCTTATAGTGTATTATGGAGCTGCGGTGGCTCAAGTGGTTAAGACGCTGAACTGCTGCAGGCTATGGAAGGTCAGTAGTTCAGCAGTTCGAGACCCGGGTGCCGCATGATGCAGTGAGCTCCCATCTCTAGTTCCAGCTCCTGCTAACCTAGCAGTTCGAAAGCAAGAAATTGCAAGTCGATAAATAGGTACCACTTCAGTGGGAAGGTAACAGTGTTCCGTGCGCCTTGGTGTTTAGTCATGCCAGCCACATGACCACGGAAACGTCTTCGGACAGCACTGGCTCTTCGGCTTGGCAACGGAGGTGAGCACTGCAACCCTAGAGTCGGATTCGACTGGCTTTCGAACAAGGGAACCTTTACCTTTACCTGTTTCTTGTTTACTTTTGTTTTGTAAGTGGGATAGGGACGCGGAATGGTAGAGGATAGGCCTATCTCATCTGATCTCAGAAACTAAGCAGGGTCAGTACTTGGGTGAGAGACCACCAAGGAAGATCTTGCAGAGGAAAGCAATGGCAAATCACCTCTGCTCCATCACTTGCCTTGAAAGCCCTGTGTGGTCACCATAGGTCAGCTGTGACCTGACAACATTTTACACACATACACACTCAAGTGGGATGGTGTAGGAGCGTGCTTCTTGCACTGAAGTATTCACTGACATGTCTCTTCCCTAGAGTCAGTCTCTCTCTCATAAAAATAATCTGTTTGCAATCATCTTTTCATCTGTGCACTTGTGGTAACTGCCATTGCAGTTTGTAGAGTGATTCCACAAACATGGCATACATTTTGATCCTATATAAATTTGTCTGGAATTTCCTTTTCACGGGCAGGGATCTCACCTTTGTCTTTGTGTCTAACTCTTTAGGCTCAGTATTATGGAGAGATTGGCATTGGGACACCACCACAAAAGTTTACTGTAGTCTTCGACACTGGATCATCCAACCTCTGGGTGCCCTCGGTACACTGCCGTTTGTTGGACATTGCTTGCAGTAAGTATATAGAGGGAACTTCTGTAGATCTTCCTGGTTGCCTTCTTTTATATAGGTGCTGTAGCCAGGGGTCATTTCGTAGAAAAAGAGATGCAGGAGCTCATTAGAATAACTTATTTGCATAACTTATTTGCATATGCCACATCCCCTGACATCACCAGAAGTGTGTCAGAAGGCAACACCCACCGCTCAGGCTCCACAGGACTGTTTTGGATTGCTAGCTATTGGGGGGGGGATGCGCAGATGT